ATTCTATTACAATACTGTTATAGCAGATTCCAACCAAAGTAAGATAATTACTAAATAAAATGTAAACATTTGACTCGAAATGTGTCTTTTAATGAAATCAATAGCCATCCTGTGTATCTATAGATGAATATTTTTTAGTGCTAGCTAAGCAGATACAGGTTTTTGTCTCCATTGTATTTCTTTCTTGGTTTTTAATTGAGGTACAGGCTGAGTAACTTGTTCACATAATAAAGTAGATGACAGTGGAAAGTATTTTATTTTCAGTGTTAGTCAATTATTTGAACTTGCCAAAAATCACATAATGATTTATTATCAAACGTTATTTGTAATGATCTGTGGGCTGACAATTCATTTGAATTGTCCTCAATATTGTGAAAAGCAGAAAATTGGAAACCATCTGATTAGCAAAAAGATTATTTCTAGTCAATAAACTTAGCATTTCTGAGAAGTCTATCAAAAACATTTACCAATACTTAAGAAATGAAAATAACTATACTGCCCTTTTATCATTTAGAGGCAAAAAATCGAAAAATTGGAATACAGGTATACTTCTACTTATTGCATTTCACTTCATTGCACTTAGCAAATATGGCATTAATTACAAATTAAAGGTTTGTGGCAACCTTGCCTTCAGAAACTCTGTTGGCACTATTTTTCCTGACAGCATGTGCTGACTTTGTGTCTTGTGTCACATTTTGGTAATTCTCACAGTATTTCAAAGTCTTATTATTATTATATCTGTTATGGTTATCTTTGATGTTGCTATTGTAATTGTTTTTGGGTGCCATGAACTGTGCCCATATAAGAGGGTAAGTTTAATGTTGTTTGTGTTGTCACTGCTCCATAGACCAGCTGTTCTGCTATCTCTCCCCCTCTTCTAGGGCCTCTCTATTGTCTGAGATATAACAGTATTGAAATTAGGCCACTTAATAAACCTACAGTGGCCTCTAAGTGTTCAAGTGAAAGGAATAGTCGCAAGTCTCTCATTTTAAATCAAAAGCTAGAAATGATTCACCTTTATGAGAAAGGTGCTGAAAGCACAGGCTGAAAGCTAGGTCTCTAGCACTAAAGTTAGCCAAGTTGTGAATGCAAAGGAAAAGTGAAGAAAGTTTTAGAAGTTTGGATACAAGATCAAACCACCCACAACATCCCCTAAGCCAGAGCCTAACCCAGAGCAGGGCCCTAACTGTCTTCAATTCTATTGAAGGTAAGGAACCTGCAGAAGAATAGTTTGAAGCTAGTAAACATGATTCATGAGGTTTAAGGAAAGAAGCCATCTTGCTAACATAAAAGTGAAAGGTGATGCAACAAATGCTGATTAGAAACTGCAGCATTATCCTGAAGATCTAGCTAAGATCATTGATGAAGGTAACTACACTGAACAACAGATTGTCAGTGTTGATGAAATAGCCTTCTATTGGGAGGAGATGCTATCTAGGACTTTTATAGGTAGAGAGCAGAAGTCAATGCTTGTCTTCAAAGCTTCAAAGGACAAGCTGACTCTCTTGTTAGGGACCAATGAGACTGGCGACTTTAAGTTGAAGCAAAGCTCATTTACTATTCTGATAATTCGGGGGCCCTTAATAATTATGCCAAATCTGATCTGCCCGTGTTTTATAAATGGAATAGCAAAGTCTGTATAATAGCACATTTGTTTACAGCATAGTTTGCTAAATATTTTAAGCCCACTGTTGAGACCTGCTGCTAAGAAGAAAAGTTCCTTTCAAAATATTACTGCTTACCGACAATGTACCTGGGCCACCCAAGAGTTCTGATAGAGATGTACAAGGAGGTTAATATTGTTTTCATGCCTGATAATACAACATTCATTCTGTAGCTCATGGATAAAGGAGTCATTTCAACTTTCAATTCTTAAAATTTAGATACATTTTGTAAGCTAACAGCTGCCATACATAATGATTCCTCTGATGGATCTGGGAAAAGGAGATGGAAAACTTTCTGGAAAGGATTTGCCATTCTAGATAACATTACAATCATTCATTATTTATGGGAGGTCAAAATACCAACACTAACAGGAGTTTGGAAGAAGTTGATTTCAATCCTCATGGGTGACTTTAAGAGGTTCAGGACTTCAGTGAAGTAAGTAACTGCAGATGTTGTAGAAATGGCAAGAGAACTAGAATTAGAAGTGGAGCCTGAAGATGTGACTAGATTGCTGCAGTCTTATAAAATTTGAATCAAGGAAGAGTTGTTTCTTATGGATGAGCCAAGAAAGTGGTTTCTTGAAATATAATTTACTCCTGAAGGAAATGCTGTAAATATTGTTGATATAACTGGAAAAGATTTGGAATATTACATAAACTTAGTTGATAAAGCAGTGGCAAGGTTTGAGAGAATTGACTCAAATTTTGAAAGTTCTGCTGTGGGTAAAATGGTGTCAAATGACATCACATGCTACAAAGAAATCTTGCATGAAAGGAAGAGTCAACTGATGCAGCAAACCTGTTCGTCTTATTTTAAGCAATTGCCAGCGAGGTACAATGGCTCACACCTATAATCCCAGCATTTGGGGAGGCTGAGGTGGTAGTATCACTTGAGCCCAGGAATTCAAGACCAGCCTGGGCAACATAGCAAGGCCCCATCTCTACGAAAAAAAAATTAAAAAGAATTGCCAGGCGTGGTGGCACACACCTGTGGTCCCAGGTACTAGGGAGACTTAGTTGGGAGGGTCTCGAGTCTCGGGGGTCAAGGCCTCACTGAGCTATGATCAATCCACTGCACTCCAGCCTGGGTGACAGAGCAAGACCCTGTCTCAACAACAACAACAACAACAAGATTGCCACAGCTACTCCAGCCTTTAGCAACTGCCACCCCGATCAGTCAGCAGCCATCAACATCAAGACAGGACCCTCCACTAGAAAAAGACTGAAAATCACTGAAGGCTCAGATTATCATTAAATGTTTTAGCAATAAAATATTTTTAATTAAGTTATGTGCACTTTTTGGATATAATTCTTTCACACTTAATATAGTGTGTAAAGTGTAAACATAACTTTTATATGCACTGAGAAACCAAAAAATTTGTGACTCACTTTATTGCAATATTTGTTTTATCAAGGTTCTCTGGAACCTCACCTGCAATGTCTCTGGGGTATATCTTATATAATATGTGTTATATATATTCTTTACATGTATAATTATTAATTTTCTTCAGCTCTTCAGGTGAACTTTACCATGTTAGGGACATAATTATATTCTTTTTATACAACTGGTACAATTTACATTGATTTCTTCTCTCCAAACCCTGTTGTTTTTATAGAGCTTTCATGTGGCCTTTTTAGAGTTTTATGTTGATTGCTATTATAAATGCAAACTTTTGTATTCTGTGTTTAAGTTATCTCTTTCTGAAATTGTGTGTTATTACTAATATTCTTTCAAAAGATATTGTGGAGTAATAAATAATATTAGGCATTGAAGTTTAATTTTACATTTTTTTTTTGCAGAATAAAAATCATAGTTATATTTGTATAAAAGGATATGGGTGCATTGATAAATGAATCTCAATGTGTTTTATATATGATCCATGTAAAAATTCTCAAATACAATACACTTGGAAATTCTTAACACCATAGTATTAGCTAAAAAATTTTTAGGCCAAATATTTGATTGAAAATTCTGACCTAACATAGTATTTATTTCCTCCAAATAGTGACCCTAGTTTCAGATGAAACACAATTTTACTTTAAGAATGAAATGTCAAAGCAAGCCATTTATACATTGACAAGTCCCATAAAATACTATGGAATTTCATTGAGTCTAAGATAGTCTCAATTGTTAAGTTGCACTGTTATTTTATAGTATACCAAGAAAGAAAATAATGCTGTCACTGAAGTAAAACACAGTTTCTCAACATTTAGAATTTTTATAACTACCAAAAGAACTTTTTTAGACTTAAATGCAGGTTATTTTAATAATTTTAATCACTTGTGAATATTTTATGTATATGCACACACAGACATACAATGGAAAATATACATTAAAAAATTGGTAAGACATTCCTAAACCTTCTTCCCTTTCACTATCTGACACTTCTAAATTACTTTGGAGTCTGAGTTTTCAACATTCACATCTCACACCTAAGCTTATTCTCTTTGTCAGTGTGCAATATATTTTAACAGCGAGATCCACCATTTTTTCTAGTAATTTCATCCAAAGAGCTGCACCCAGTCTTTAAGTTTTGATGTTGCTATTTATTCTACCTTACTAGAATGTGTCAACAGAAGGTCTTTCAGGCAAAAATCAGGATTCATGTTTATATTCGTTTTTCAAATGCTCCTTAAAAGGTTCTATTGAAATGTGATTAAGCATTGTCCAATCGAGCCACAGGAAATAATAAGCAAATTCAAACATGCATTGTCCATGATAACAACATTACTATCATGACTGCCTCTTGATGAACCTAGATTGGAAGAAGTCATTAGGTGTAAGACATCCTTATTACTAATATGATAGGATGTGAAAACAATAGGTGTCCTAGAATCAACAAATTATAGTATTAAAGAAAAATCATTGTTGAAGATAATTTTAAAAAACAATTTCAGCTCTAATTAATGGCATATGTATATGTATACACATATTATTCTCAAAAATAAAATTTTAACAGACAAGTCATTTATGTAATTCCTCGATTTTTTATTACATAAATTTACCTGTATCTGTTAAGATATTTTGGATATTTTAGCTATGTTCTATTGAAAAACTTTTCCATCAAGATTTGAATGATTATGGTTACAACAAAATATATGTTCAACACTTCTAATTTATTATTTCATGTGCTTTTATACATAAGACTGAAAATAACCTCTCAAACTGATCATTTGTGAAGTATTGGAAAGTTCTCATTATATTTCTTGTGAACTAATATTTCTCCTCTGACGATTAAAATGTGCTTTCTTGCCTTTCCAAATGATTGGATGTTAAAGATAAACAAAGAAATGACAATAGCAACTGAGTATTTCTTTATCTCCTCTCTGCTCTAGGTCCTATAAGTAGTGTTTTGGTGAATAAATACGGCAGCCGGCCGGTGGTGATAGCAGGAGGCTTATTATGCTGTCTTGGAATGGTGTTGGCCTCCTTCAGTAGCAGCGTGATCGAGCTGTACCTCACTGTGGGATTCATTACAGGTAAGTCGTTTAGTCTTCAGTTTATTCTTAACTCTTCTGTTGTTTTCAAAACTCTATGAGAAGAATGAACAATAGAAAATTCTTATTTTCTTTGAATTTACTTTTTTTAAACAATGCAGTTTTAAAGTATTTCCATCTAGTACATTGAAATTCAAGCTATATAATGGCCAAACATTTCGTTTTTTAAAAAATAAAAAAAAGTTATCAGACAAGTTACATATTATCACATAAATTTAAAATAAAACAGCTGTAGTTTTTTTTTTTTTCTTTTTTTCTTTTTACTTTTCAGCCAATGGAGATGGTGTTGTTGGACATAGACTTTCTGATGTAAATAAATACCTTAATTATTATAAAACTTATTTTCATGAGTTATTTCCATTTGCAGTATCTATCCGACTTTCCACTCGTAATATGTTAAAATGATGCCAGAGAGATATTTTCTGGATGCACTGATTTAGCTTCAACAATAAAATTATTGTTGCTTGTTCCGATTAGTGGTTGAGCTCATTGACTCTGTTCCTTCTTTTTCTTACTGAAATGATCCTGTTTAAAAGCTTGGTGAGCCACATTTTCTTCTAACACAAATATTAAAAATGACCTACTGTCACTTGATTATAGTTGTTTCTCATGCACGTATCTATTGACTCAAACTGACAACAATATGTACACTTCAAAAATCACTATTTTTTATTAGTCTAAATAAAAAATTGCATTACAAATTTATATTCAACATATTAGGAAAAATTGGACTTCAATATATAAAGAGACGGAATCTTTCCTTTCTGCCCAGAGATAAAAAGGCAAACATATTTACACTTGTGTAATCTTACACTCATGTATCATTTGATGAAAAAAATGTATTGAGGCTTACAGTAATAGTGATGTTAAAATCTTTCTCTTTACAATCTATCCACATCTCTCTCTTTTTTTGGTATAACAAAATGCATTTAATATTATAAATGAAAATCATCTTATATCTAAGCATTGTCATAGCGAAGAGAGTGCCTTTTCGTTTGTGTAGAGAAATTGACCACTGCATTTGACTGTAGAAGTCGGGATGGGCCTACAAGTAGGGAAAAGATGATTTTGTTATTTCCTGCACTGCAGATATAAATGGCATTATTGGTGTTCCAACTTACAATTGTATTCTTTGCGTCTCAAATACTTTGATGCCCCCAAAGTTAATTATTAAGTCCATCTATGAGGGATTTACTTTAAATCATTATCAGCAAATACTTTGACTTCAGTTTCCAAAAGTAGACAGATCTAGCATTTAAACTTGACTTGACACATATTATCTGTGTGATCATGGGTACGTTAACCTCCTTATACCTAAGTTTCTTAATCTATAAAATTAGATAAATAATAGGTCTTTTTAAAGGAGTTATTAGAATGATTAATGTAAAAAATGAATACATAGTACTTTACAGCTTACCCAGAATTTTGCTGTTCATAAATAAATGTTTGCAAATAATCACAATGCCATTTATTTAACATCTTACAGTTCTAGAACTTACTTTATTTTGGCAAAATCTTTTTGTGTTGTTAGGTGAAGTCGAGGTCAGGAAGTCTAAGTGTTTTGCCCAGTAATATAAAATAGGTACTTTTTTGGAGCAGATCAGTTCTACTTATTTCAGGTCTATGTTCGTTTTACCATGCCAGAATGAGAAAGAGATGGCAACTATTTCCAAATGAAAATATGGATTAACATTTGAAGGCAAAAGTTCCAGGCGACAGAATGGGGAAAATGATATAAGATAAAAAAAACTTAAGCTCTGAACCATAATACCTGGATTTTAGTTTGGGTTCTTCCACTTACAAGCTACTTGACCACAGGCTGGTCAGTTTTGTTATTTATAAATCGGATTTAATTACACTCATTCTGCATTTCTCACAGGTATGGCTGAGGTATAGTGTTAGAGAACATGCTATTCTGTTACTTGCCAAAGCATGTTCTTGTTCCTTCTTGTCAGCTTTTAGGGGTCCTCTTACTTATAGAAAATGTCTGTATTAAAGGGTTGGAGTATTGTACACAGACCTGTGTATTTCACAACTGGAATAGTTAACCACTTTACAGAACTGTTTCAATTTAGGTAAATTTGTAAATATAGAAGAACTCTTACCTCTCTAGCCCCTAAAATAAATATAGAGTAATGCCTAGTTTAAGGAAAAACAACAGATAGTTATATAAGTTAATTTTATGTAAATCAATATACTTTTTTTTTTCTTTTTTTTTTCTTTTGAGACAGTCTTGCTCTATTGCCAGACTGAAGTACAGTGGTGTGATCTCGGCTCACTGCAATCTCTGCCTCCTCAGTTCAAGCAATTCTCTTGCCTCAGCCTCCCGAGTAGCTGGGATTACAGGCACCTGCCACCACGTCTGGCTAATTTTTGTATTTTTAGTAGAGACGAGATTTCACCATGTTGGCCAGGATGGTCTCAATCTCCTGACATCGTGATCCATCTGCCCCAGCCTCCCAAAGTGCTGGGATTACAGGTGTGAGCCACCACGCCCGGCCTCAATCAATGTACTTTTTAAAGGACCTTATTTATTACAATCGCTCAGTAGTACTTTAGTGAGCTACAAGAGGTAATTAATTTTCCAAAGGTGACACTCAACACTGCCAAGGAGCTCCCTAGACAGTGGGGACTTTGGCTCATATAAACAATCAGCATTAATCCCTGAATTTAAAACTATGTTTCAAGCAAAAAATTCCTTTTTACTTAGCACACATGTGCATCTATATACATTAAATGTGGAATGTGAGGGATGTAGAGCATGAAATTATTGGCATACATTCATTACTCTTTTTGTTATTTGCATGGTGTTGAAACAAATGTTTGTGGGGAGACATAAGATTGTTACAAATTATGACCTTTTTAGTTTGTTTATAATTCTTCAATGCCAAAAGGAAAGTATTCACACCTTTATATTGCCCTCTTGCTCACAAGGAAGAAATCTATTCCATATATGTGTATATAAGTATATGTCAAGAAGAAAGGATCTGTATAATTAAATGATTTTAATTGAGAACTAATAATTTTGTCCTAGTTTCAACCTATTGTATGACTGTTGATACATCAGTAGAAATTCTTAGTTTTATTTTTGTGCTTTAAAATTAAAGGAATATGAAACTGTCATTTCAAGTGTTCGGTTATGAAAACCTTTTTATTTTTGTGCAATTACATTTATAATAATCAAAATGTACTATCTCATATTGGCATTTTTAATTCTGCCTTTCCCACTTGAATGTAAATTTTGAGGAGTAATTTCTTTTGTGAGTGCCATAATGTGTTTGTGTTTTCCCCCACTTTTGTTTTGTTCTTTTTAGGTTTAGGTTTAGCCTTCAACCTGCAACCCGCCTTAACAATAATTGGCAAATACTTCTATAGGAAGCGACCCATGGCAAATGGATTGGCCATGGCAGGAAGTCCTGTTTTCTTAAGTTCATTGGCTCCTTTCAATCAGTACCTTTTTAATACTTTTGGCTGGAAAGGAAGTTTCCTGATTTTGGGAAGTCTACTTTTGAATGCCTGTGTGGCTGGGTCCCTCATGAGACCCCTTGGACCCAGTCAAACCACTTCTAAGTCTAAAAATAAGACTGTCACAACAGAAGACGATTCAGGCCAGAAGAAAATCAAACCGAAGAAATCAACTTGGGGAAAAGTTAATAAGTATTTAGATTTCTCCCTTTTTAAGCATAGAGGATTTCTGATATATCTGTCTGGAAATGTCATTATGTTCCTAGGTTTTTTTGCCCCCATTATATTCTTGGCTCCATATGCTAAAGACCAGGGAATTGATGAGTACTCGGCAGCTTTTCTGCTATCTATTATGGCTTTCGTTGATATGTTTGCTAGGCCTTCTGTAGGATTAATTGCAAACTCCAAACATATTCGACCTCGAATTCAGTACTTCTTCAGTTTTGCAATCATGTTCAATGGAGTGTGTCATCTCTTGTGCCCGCTGGCACAGGACTACACAAGCCTGGTATTATATGCTATATTTTTTGGCCTTGGATTTGGGAGTGTTAGCAGTGTTCTCTTTGAAACTCTCATGGACCTCGTGGGTGCACCAAGATTTTCCAGTGCCGTCGGACTTGTCACAGTTGTGGAGTGTGGCCCAGTTCTTCTTGGCCCTCCTCTTGCTGGTAAGAACATTTTTCATCAAGAAAAATATAAAGCATAAAATTAATAACCATTAACTGAGACTTTATATACAGATTTTTTTTTTTTTTTTCTTGAGACGGAGTCTTGCTCTGTTGCCCGGGCTGGAGTGCAGTGGCGCGATCTGGGCTCACTGCAAGCTCCACCTTCCAGGTTCCCGCTATTCTCCTGCCTCACTCTCCCAAGTACCTGGGACTACAGGCGCCCGCCAGCACGCCCAGTTAATTTTTT